CACCACCACACCACATATACACACACACACACACACACACACACAACACACACACACACACACACACACCACACACACACACACACACACACACACACACACACACACACACCACACACACACACACACACACACACACACACACACACACACACACTCTGCTGCTGTAAATATGAAGCAGTGCTTATCTCCAGATCATCTCTTACATAAGTCCTGTTTACATTCACAGTTTGTGCCTGTGTCTTTTGGAACAGATGTGGAAAGCAGAAAAAGTAAAAAAAAAAAAAATGTATTTATTAATTTTAACAAAATCACTTTAAATATTTTGGCCATTCTGGTTTGTCAAAGTCTGATCCCGTCAAATCTCAGGAGTTAAACAAGGTCAGGTCTGGTCAGGACTTGGATGGGAGAATCAGAATGAAGCAGGACTGATCCAGGACCGGGACGAGACCGCAACCAGACCAGGACCAGTGTGGGACTGAGACCGAGATCAGACCGGGACCAGACCGGGACCAGACCGGGACCAGACCGGGACCAGACCGGGACCAGACCGAGACTGAGACTGAGATCAGAACTCAGACCGGGACCAGACCGGAGGCTCAGAGCTCACGGCAGCTCAAAACCGAGGCTCGGAGTCAAAGCTCAGAGTCCTGCTCTGGTCCCGCTCTGGTCCCGCTCTGGTCCCGCTCTGGTCCCGCTCTGGTCCCGCTCTGGTCCTGGACCTGGATCAGTCCTGGTTGAGTCCATATGCGGTGCAAAAGTCCAGTATCGCAGTCATGGACGTCACGTTATCAGTTTTTTCCATTTCTCATTTAAACACAGAAAATCGAAAACTGAAAAAACGAATCATTATCTGTTTTTTCATTTTGGTTTTGGAGACAAATAATGAAGAAAACTGTTGTTTTTTCATTTTCTTATTTTTGGTTTTATATTGAAAAACAATTGAACGAATGACACATGAATTAATCAGGAGCCACAGGGGGGCGCCAGTCATTGTGTCCTTTGGCAAGACTCTTCACCCACATTGCCTTGTGTAAAAGTGGTGTGTGAGTGATGATGGTGGTCGGAGGGGCTGATGGCGCAGATTGGCAGCCTCGCTCCAGTCATTCCCCAGGGCAGCTGTGGCTACAACAGTCCCTAACCACCACTGGGTTTGGAGTGAAAGAATAAAGCTCTGTAAAGTGTCTTTGTGACTAATGTCTGTGAAAGGCGCTTTATAAATAAAAAAAACTTACTTATAAAACCGCGCAGGGATCGTTCTTTAATTTAGACGTCGACATTTGTAACAGAAACATCAGTACCACAGTTTTGTTTGACACCATCGATAAAAACACACACAGTTTGTCAATCAAAACATACAACTCCATATCTGTGTGTCTCATTACATTTCACTGATAAAACCAACATCATGTAACGAGCTGTTTCAGTGTCAGGACTAAAAACTCCCCGTGTGTGTGTGTGTGTGTGTGTGTGTGTGTGTGTGTGTGTGTGTGTGTGTCTGTCGCCTGTGCTCCTCAGGCTGTTCGAGGAGGCCTCCACTCAGCTCAACCTGGAGGCTCTGGTGGGCTTCCTGCAGCAGCTGAGGAGAGCCTCTCAGTCCCAGCTCTTCTCCTCCGTCACAGACACTGGGGACTACTCCCTGGCCATGCCCGGTACGCCCTCTGCACCTCCAAGAGTCGACTAATTACACTAATCTACTTTGATAATATCTAACTGACACTTACACGTCATCTGACCGATTTAATATTTAAATAAAGACACTTGTGTTTTCAGGAGAGGCCAAGTCGACTCAGGACCGGGCTCTCCATCTCTTCCGTCTGGGGGAGTCCATGCTGAGGATCGTCAGGAACAAGAGGCGCCCCCTGCTGCACATGATGAGGGCCTGGAGTGTGGTAGCGCCTCATCTGGTGGAGGTGAGAACTGCCTGTGCTCTGTGCACCGTGTGTAGTACAGGCGAGTTTCACTGTTGACAAAAGCGTGCGTTGCTGCTGGGAATTATTTTGGTCGGCGGCAAGAAACACTAATTCAACATGACGGATGGAGCGAGAAAACACGTAAAGGGTATTGATCCCGGTTATTTATCCACTCTAACGGCAGAGGACCCAAGACCATTTGACCAGAAATTGGTCATAAACATCGACGGACGACAAATCACCCTTTTCAACCCCGACAGAGTCTGGACCAAACCAAATTTCTGGTCAGAATCTCCAACTCCCTGGACAAATATTCACTTGGGCGACATCCACAATGACTTGGTGGAAACTCCTGGGCCATTCACAGCAGAAAAGATGAAAACCTCCAAGAGTCTGGATGTGTTGTTGAACTTGTTGAGTCCACGGTTTGTTAGGATCTTCTACGTTTGCTCTGTGGATGTTTGAAAGTCGTTTAATTCACCGTTAGTGGTTCTTTTCACTCAGAATACGAAAAAGACATTTTCCTTCTTCCGTGCTTCTATTTGTGCGTCCGATAATGCAGCAGGAATTTACCATTATCAGGGAGAAATACGCAAGGTTACGCACTGTGTTTGACGCTACCGTGTTTCTTGCCTCCGACCAAAATATTTCCCAGCAGCAACGCGGGTTTTTAATAACAATGACGTCAGCTGAAACTCGCCTATAAAGTACCGTATTTTCCACACTATTAGTCGCTCTGGATTATAAGGCACACTGTCATTAAATGGTCTATTTTCAAACTTTTTTCACAAATAAATTACTTTTCCCTCCGTTACCATGACCTTTCTTAATAAAAAATCTCATGAGTCAAAAAGTCAGAGGTTTTTCAACCTAATCTTGTACCATATGGTAGAAAACTATATGAAGCAAATATTCAAACCAGTTTGTTAAGGATATGTAAGTGAGAACCAAGAGTTATCACTGTTTGGATTTATTGCCCAAAAAGTGCTGCATATTTCATTCCCTCCGTTACCGACATGAGTTTTTAATTTTTTGTCAACGACTTGAAAGAATCTCACAGGTTTAACTTGACCCTGTTGGAGTGTAACTCTTTCCTACATTCTGATACTTTACTTATTTCAATAGTTCCTCTAGTTTCTGAATAAGAGACATTTGAATGTCAAAAATCTGCCCCTGTTTCCCTCCGTTACCACTTGACTGGACCCTTATATAAAGTAGTGGAGTACGTAGTTTGCAGGAGTTTGTTTATGAGTGTGTCTCCCTGCAGGCGGCGTGTCACTCGGAGCGTCACGTGTCCCAGAAGGCCGTGTCCTTCCTCCACGACGTCCTCACCGAGGTCCTGAGCAGCTGGGCCGAGCTCCCGCACTTCCACTTCAACGAGGCCCTGTTCAGACCCTTCGAGCACATCATGCAACTGGAGCTGTGCGACGACGACGTGCAGGACCAGGTGAGGCCAGGGGAGGGCACCGGGGGGCAGACAGGGGCTCACAGACAGGTGCGTACAGACAGGTCGATGACAGGTGACCCCGTGTGTTGTGGTGCAGGTGGTGACCTCCATCGGGGAGCTGGTGGAGATGTGTTCTCCTCAGATCCTGTCGGGCTGGAGGCCTCTGTTCAGCGCTCTGAGGACGGTCCACAGCAGCAAGAGCGATACCAAAGACTACCTGCAGGGGGAGTACTCCATGGGTAAGACGCATAAGGGCTGGACTCCCCACAGAGACAAAATAAACCCACAAATTAAACCAACAGCTGCTTAAATTACCGTATTTTCTGCACTATAGTGCGCACTTAAGTCTTTAATTTCATCCAAAAACGAGTGTGCGGCTGATAATCCAGAGCGCCTTATGAATGAATTTATTGGGGCGTCTTAGTACGACTTTAGTGAAGTACAAAGCCGCTCCACTTGCAGCGTTCTGGCTCCTGTAGTCAGGAGCATCAGGTGTAAAACAGACTGTGATTCCTTTTAATATCAAAATGCACCTGTCAAGAGACACGCTCACAACGCCCACTTTAAACTCAAGGCTGTTCTAAAGTGAAAGTGCGTTTAGCTGCGTGGGAGCAGTGGACGAGAGAAGGAGAACACACATTCACCAAGACAGAGAGACAGAGACACAGGGAGACAGCGCCGAGCCACTTACGCCACGATCTGCCGACAGATCGTGGACGCCCGGACTGAGGATCAAGGTCAACTGTGGTCCGAGCTTTCACCAAAACCTGAATCATCACTGAACTGAACTCCAGGGAACAGGAACCACACTGACTCGGATCATGACAGAGGGATGTGGACGTGTGGACGCCGGAATCACCCAACTGTTTCAACTATTATGACTTGAATACGTGAACAATTTAGCGTCTCAGACAGGATTTTTTTTACGCGTTACAATTGAACAAAGTTGAGAGTTATTGTGAACGCCTTAAATAAAGTTTGACTGACTTATCGAACTGTTGTGTTTCATTTAATGCGTCTTATAGTCCGGTGCGATATATATGTGAAGTTTGAAAATAAACCATTCAATGACAGTGCGCCTTATAGTGCGGAAAATACGGTAATTTGATAACGTCATAAAACTGTTCTTCATATGTTCACTTTGGATCACCTGGAACATTTACCAGATAAATTTGTCCCTAAGTATCAATCATCTGACCCCGCCCCTGACTGTCCCTGACCCTCACTGTACCTCCCTCCCCTCACTGTTCCTGACCCCTCCCTACTGTCCTGACCCCGCCCCTCACTGCCCCTCCCTCACTGTCCCCCTCACTGTCCTGACCCCTCCCCCTGACCCCTCACTGTCCTGACCCCGCCCTCACTGTCCCTGACCCCTCCCCTCACTGTCCCTGACCCCGCCCCTCACTGTCCCTGACCCCGCCCTCACTGTCCCTGACCCCTGTCCCTGACCCGCCCCTCACTGACCCCCCTCCTGTCCCTGTCCCTGACCCCTCCCCTCACTGTCCCTGACCCCTCCTGCCCCTCCCCTGACCCCCCCTCACTGTCCCTGACCCCGCCCCTCACTGTCCCTGTCCCTGACCCCGCCCTCACTGTCCCTGACCCCTGCCCTGACCCCGCCCCTCACTGTCCCCTGACCCCGCCCCTCACCCCGCCCCTCACTGTCCCTGACCCCCCCCTCACTGTCCTGACCCCACCCTCACTGTCCCGTCACCTGACCCCCCTCACTGTCCTGACCCGCCCCTCACTGTCCCTCACTGTCCCTGACCCGCCCCTCACTGTACCTGACCCCCGCCCCTCACTGTCCCTGACCCCGCCCCTCACACACGTCTCCTCCTCTTGTGTGTCTCTCAGGTAAATCCCAGGCTCCGGTGTTCGACGTGTTTGAGGCCTTCATAAACACGGACAACATCCAGGTGTTCGCCAACGCCGCCACGGATTACATCATGTGTCTGATGAAGTTTGTCAAAGGACTAGGTTTGCCCCGCCCCCTTTTACTTCGACATCAGTCACCCTTTCTGTGTGTGTGTGTGTGTGACGTGTGTGTGACGTGTGTGTGACGTGTGTGTGTGCTGTGTGCAGGAGAGGTGGACTACAAGGAGATCGGAGACTGTGTGAACCCGTCTGGACACAGCTCCACAGACCTGTGCCTCCCAGCTCTGGATTATCTGCACAAATGTTCACAGGTATCGGCCAAACGGATTTGATTTTATAACATGTGCAGCTCTGTAGGTTTTCTCTGTGTCCTTCACACGTCACACAGTTCGTCTGATGTGAATGTGGTGAGGGATTTGTGCAGCTGTGGCTACAGTAGAAGCTCACCACCTCAGCGTGTGGAGTGAACAGTGTTGGGAGTAACGCAGTAATGTGGCGTTACAAGGAAAAAAATAGTAATATTTTACTCGGTACAAATGTGAGTAGGCCTGTGACGATAACAGATTTTGCTGGACGATTAATTGACCAAGAATTTATTGCGATATATTTGACAGTTTGAAACCAATTTGATTATAGTGACCATGAAATAAAAAGGCAAATACACCCTTTCAAAGATCAATAAACTTGACTTTCTAAAGACGATTTAACACAGGAAGTGTAAGACAAACAAAAACAACAGGTCTAAATAAAAAAGACTTGTTAACACAGGACTAGTCTAATGTGTCTTGTTCACAAAAATACACTTGAATAAACCACTGTTGAACCAAACACAACCAAAACAATAAATAAAATGGATTATTAAGTCTCTGTAACAAAACTGCCCTTAAAAGTGATTTTAGTCGTTGATTTACATTGAAATATAGTGGCCTCTCTCTCTGTGGCTGCTGCTGTGGCCTCGTCATTTTGGTCATTTAAATGTTCGTATGAACCCGTGACACAGGATCCTGTTTCTCTATGAGGGAACCTCTGTCCTGTCTGGTGTCGTGTCGGTGTCTTGTGGGATTTCAGTGGAATTCGGGTTCTCCCAGGGGCTAGTAGTGCCGCTCGATCGGGTTTGGGTTTATCGGCTGTTGGGGTTTGAGACATTTCTTCTCGTCGTTTGCATTTCGCTCGCAACATTTGACGCATGTGACTGTTAAACGAGAGGAGTCAGAGAGCGATAACTAACATTCTAACATTCACCCTCTTTGAGAGCGAGGAAAACAAACAAGCTGCAAATAGAATTTATCGCAGCCGGAAAAGTTATCGAGCTTGTTAAAAGTTATCGTACGATTAATTGATTTATTGATTATCTTTACAGGCCTAAATGTGAGCAATGCGTGTTACAATTTTTTGGTCTTTTTTAACCTGGATTAGACTGGTGGGTTTTTCGTTTTTCTTCATACAAATTTGCTAAAATCACGGCGATATCAGCAGCGGTGAAACGCCGAAGGTGCGCCCACGTAGACCGTCGGGTGACCGTGGGTGAAAGGACCGACACAGAACTCCACGCTCCACGGGGCGAAGAGCAGCCGACGCTCGATCGCGCCTTGGAGACGCCCTGCCCCACAGGCTCGGTTCTCTCAGGGGCGGAACTAGACTCACATTAGTCCTGGTTTGGTCCTGGTTTTAGACCTGGTTTAGACCTGATTTAGACCTGGTTTAGACATGGTTCAGTTCTGGTTTAATCCTGGTTCAGCTCTGGTTTAGTCCTGGTTTAGTCCTGGTTTAGTCCTGGTTTAGTCCTGGTTTAGTCCTGGTTTAGTCCTGGTTTAGACCTGGTTCAGCTCTGGTTTAGTCCTGGTTCAGTTTTGGTTCAGTCCTGGTTTAGTCCTGGTTTAGACCTGGTTTAGACCTGGTTTAGACCTGGTTCAGCTCTGGTTCAGTCCTGGTTTAGTCCTGGTTTAGTCCTGGTTTAGTCCTGGTTTAGACCTGGTTCAGCTCTGGTTTAGTCCTGGTTTAGTCCTGGTTCAGTTTTGGTTCAGTCCTGGTTTAGACCTGGTTCAGCTCTGGTTCAGTCCTGGTTTAGTCCTGGTTAGTCCTGGTTTAGTCCTGGTTTAGACCTGGTTCAGCTCTGGTTTAGTCCTGGTTTAGTCCTGGTTTAGTCCTGGTTCAGTCCTGGTTCAGTCCTGGTTTAGTCCTGGTTTAGTCCTGGTTCAGTCCTGGTTCAGTCCTGGTTTAGTCCTGGTTTAGACCTGGTTTAGACCTGGTTTAGACCTGGTTCAGCTCTGGTTCAGTCCTGGTTTAGACCTGGTTTAGACCTGGTTCAGCTCTGGTTCAGCTCTGGTTCAGTCCTGGTTCAGTCCTGGTTTAGTCCTGGTTCAGCTCTGGTTTAGTCCTGGTTCAGTTCTGGTTCAGTCCTGGTTTAGACCTGGTTTAGACCTGGTTCAGCTCTGGTTCAGTCCTGGTTTAGTCCTGGTTTAGTCCTGGTTTAGACCTGGTTCAGCTCTGGTTTAGTCCTGGTTTAGTCCTGGTTTAGTCCTGGTTCAGTCCTGGTTCAGTCCTGGTTTAGTCCTGGTTTAGTCCTGGTTCAGTCCTGGTTCAGTCCTGGTTTAGTCCTGGTTTAGACCTGGTTTAGACCTGGTTTAGTCCTGGTTTAGACCTGGTTTAGACCTGGTTTAGACCTGGTTCAGCTCTGGTTTAGTCCTGGTTTAGTCCTGGTTTAGTCCTGGTTCAGTCCTGGTTCAGTCCTGGTTTAGTCCTGGTTTAGTCCTGGTTCAGTCCTGGTTCAGTCCTGGTTTAGTCCTGGTTTAGTCCTGGTTTAGACCTGGTTTAGACCTGGTTTAGTCCTGGTTTAGTCCTGGTTTAGTCCTGGTTTAGACCTGGTTTTCCTGGTTTAGACCTGGTTTAGACCTGGTTTAGACCTGGTTCAGCTCTGGTTCAGTCCTGGTTTAGTCCTGGTTTAGACCTGGTTTAGTCCTGGTTCAGTCCTGGTTTAGTCCTGGTTCAGTCCTGGTTTAGTCCTGGTTTAGACCTGGTTCAGTCCTGGTTCAGTCCATATAAGGTGCAAAAGTTGAGGTCCTATGTCCAAATTTCCGGACTGTCCCTTTAAGGTGCTCTCCTTTTCTGGTGGAGGTTCTTCTTCCTGCTTGTCTCCTTGTCTCCTTGTCTCCTTTTCTCCTTGTCTCCTTGTCTTCACCAGGCTGAAGTAAAGGTCTGTGGAGAGGCGAGCAGGTGTATTTATAAGGTGTTTCCTGTTTGTGTGAGCAGCTGTTGTCAAAGATCTACAAGATGCCCTCTAAGCCGGTGTTCCTGGGCGCTCGTTTGGCCAGTCTGCCCATGAGGGGGCAGGCGCGCTCGGTCAGCAGCGAGGACGGCGTGGACTGTGTGCTGCAGGAGTTCGACGATGACACTGGTATCTGCTCCGTGTTGATCTTTGAAACCTGCGTGTGAAACATCTGACCGTCCCGTGTCCTCCTCAGGCCTGATCCAGGTGTGGATCCTCCTCCTGGAGCAGCTGACGGCCGCCGTGTCCACCTGCCCCCGGCAACACCAGCCCCCCACCCTCGAGCTGCTCTTCACCCTGCTCCGAGAGCTCACCCACGTGCCAGGTAACGCCCGCTTCAGACGCGCGCCCGCTTCAGACGCGCGCCCGCTTCAGACACGCTCGCTTCAGACGCACTCGCTTCAGACGCACTCGCTTCAGACGCACTCGCTTCAGACGCACTCGCTTCAGACGCACTCGCTTCAGACGCACTCGCTTCAGACACACACCACTTCAGACACACTCGCTTCAGACGCACTCGCTTCAGACACACACCACTTCAGACACACTCGCTTCAGACGCACTCGCTTCAGACGCACTCGCTTCAGACGCACTCGCTTCAGACACACACCATTTCAGACACACTCGCTTCAGACGCACCTGCTTCAGACACACCTGCTTCAGACGCACTCGCTTCAGACACACGCCCGCTTCAGACGCACCCGCTTCAGACACACCCGCTTCAGACACACTCGCTTCAGACACACGCCCGCTTCAGACGCACCCGCTTCAGACACACCCGCTTCAGACACACACTCGCTTCAGACACACGCCCGCTTCAGACGCACCCGCTTCAGACACACACCCGCTTCAGACACACACCGCTTCAGACACACGCCCGCTTCAGACACACTCGCTTCAGACACACTCGCTTCAGACACTATTTTAAGGTTTGTTTGAACTGGTTTCTCTCCGGCAGGTGTGGAGGAGCAAACATAAATTCACCTTAAGTAAAAGTACAGTTACTTCAGTATAATATTACTCCAGTAGAGGAAACTACACGTTAGTTATTGTAAGAACAACTGTGTGAATGTATCATCTTTATTTATGTCAATTTTGACATGAACCTAAACTGTTCTTCCTGGAGACCTGGAGCATGTTTTGGGGTGATGGGGGAAACACATTCGGACACGGGGAGAAACATGCAAACGCCACACAGAAAGGCCCGGGCGACTCGGGGATCGAACCCGGAACCTTCTTGCTGTGAGGCATGAGTGTTAGATACTCAGCCACCGTGCCTATGATGAGGCATTTAAATATAAAGTATTTTTACAGACAAAGCAGTGACTAAAACACAGATCCTGGTGTATTCCAGGTAGGGCTGAGTCTGATGATATGATACTTCTGATACGTCACGATTCGATATCATGATATATCCCAGTACTAAAACAATGGATGATATATTGTGATTTATCAGTAATTTCTTCTAATAATATTCAACTACACCTAAAACAAATATAATTTATGTATTTTTTTAATCATCATTCATTAAAATCATTAAAAACAAATGTAACAAATGATTTTTTGTGAAAAATATAATTTTAAAAATCGATTCGGATCCATTTGAATCAATTCGAGAATTGTGCAGTGAAGTATCACGATCTGTCACTGAATCGATTTTTTCTTACACCCTTTATTCTAGAAATTAAATTTGAAAGTCATACTCAAACTTTTGTCATTTGTAGACTGAGTAAAAAGTAAAAGTATGGTTTGATAAAACTACTCCAACAAGTGCAACGTCTTTAAAATGTGACTCAGACAAATGTAATCGAGTACCTCTTCTCCCCGTCGACTCACGTGCTCAGTTTCTTTGTTCATCACGTCCGTTCTGATCTTCCTTCTTCAGTCCTTCCTCTTGTCCTCAGGTCCGGGCTTCGCCATCTTCTCCGTCATCCAGCTGCTGCTTCCCGTCATGTCGCTATGGTTACAGCGGAGCCACGGTGACCACGCCTACTGGGACATGGCGGCGGCCAACTTCAAGCACGCCATCGGGCTGTGCTGCGAGCTGGTGGTGGAGCACGTGCACAGCTTCATTCACTCCGGTGGGACTAACGTGTTCATGCTTGTGTGTGTGTGTGTTTATGTACTTTAGGCTGCTTAAAGGGGCACTATGGAACATTTCCGGAGTGTTTGACGTCTGCTTGTCACTGTGGAAACGCATGTCGTCATTTCAGTGACACCTGTATTAGAGATTCACTGTTTTTGAAAGTGTGAACCAAACAGAACATTTTTGTCAAGACTCAAAGTTGCCGTATTAAACGTGTGGGTTAAATTAATTTCAGCTGCACAAATGTCCTTTTTGTGACTGAAAAACGCCTTTGTTCTGGTGATGTTTGAGTCTCTAAAAGTGAAATTTGTAGATGTGTGTTATGAGTCTTATGTGTGTGTCTTGTGTGTGTGTGTGTGTGTATTGTTTATATATTGTGTGTGTATTTTTTTTTCCAGATATGGGGTATGAGTCTCTGATAAACCTGATGCTGAAGGAGTTGTTTAAGCTGCTGGTGTCGTGTGTGTCTGAGCCTGCAGAGCCCATCTCCAGAGTGGGCTGCTCCTGCATCAGGTACTGCGCACACACACACACACACACACACACCACACACACACACACACACACGTACCGTAAAATACCAAATAATAGCCAGTTTTCAATTACCGTATTTTTCCGGGCTCTAGGTCGCGCTCTTCAGCCTCTAACCCCATAAAAAAATGACCGCGCGCCCCATACACGAATCCACTCGGGCCCAGCACGACTTCAGTAAACTACAAACACACACGGAGCAGACAGCGACCGCACAACGAAACACACCCACACACACACTCATCACTCCAGGCCGACGACGAACGGAACGGAGGAACGAACCGAAAAAGCGACGAGCGCAACGTGCCGCTTCTGTGCTCCAAGATACAAGATAAACATGATGAAGACAGAACAATTATAATGCCGATGTGTACTTCATTACAAAAACACTGGACATGACGGCCCGTTTATTCATGTTAGAAATGTTTTTTTTTGGTTCTTAAGACTTTTATCCAACAGGCTCTGTTCACGGTTCAGTCACAAACCAAGAAAACGTTTGGAAACATGCGATGACGACTTCCGGTGTAGTTCCCGACTCTGGACTCGCCGACCGACTGTGACCAAACCCACTGAAGTACCGTATTTTCCAGGCTATTAGACGCGCTCTTAATCCTTCAACCCCATCAAAAAACGACCGTGCGCCACAATCCAGAGCGCCCCACACACGAATCCACTCGGGCGTCCCAGCACGACTTCAGTAAACTACAAACACACACGGAGCAGACAGCGACCGCACAGTGACACACACACACACACACACACTCATCACTCCACGCCGACGAGGAACGGAACGGAGGAACGAACCGAAAAAGCCACGAGCGCAATGTGCCGCTTCTAGACACGACTGAACAACTGAGTCACTGCGAACACGCCGACAATCCGTTGGTCCCAGACACACCCTCCCTACACGAAAGTTTTAAAATGTAAAAAATGACCGATAACGATGGACAAAACTGAAATTCCGTTTACCAAGATTAGAATTTCTGTCGAGATGAATGGAGAACTGTGCTTAAAGACGGGGTGTTTTTGGAGCTTTCTCCCATGTTTTAATGTTCCATCGTCTAAAAAAAACATGTCTCAAGAGGTTTTAGAGACATCCACGCATGTTTGAGTAATCTAGTGATCTCTCTGTACGAGATTTCTCCATAAATACGACAGTAAACGGGAAAATTCTCCGTGAATAATACAAAAACGTGACAGAAAACCGCAGTAGTTTCGTTAGAGGGACGCGCGCTGATGGTGTTGTGATGGCGCTCTGAAGGGGGAGTGACTTAGCAGCAAAACCGAAACTTATAAAACATGTTAATCTGTTGTTGCAGGTGATTATAGCGTTTACAAAACAATAAAAAGAGCTAAAAATGTGAGGAACGGAACGGAGGAACGAACCGAAAAAGCCACGAGCGCGACGAGCCGCTTCTAGACACGACTGAACAACTGAGTCACTGCGAACACACCGACAATCCAGCGACAGACACTACTCCCTACGCGCCACAACTGAACAAAGCCCAGAGTCACAGTGAACGAACAAACAAACAAAACCACTCACCCATCACACTGTTGGGTTTCCTTTAAAGTCCCACGTTTATTTGTGAAAAAAGTTCAAAAATAGACCATTTAATGACAGTGCGCCGCATAATCCAGAGCGACTAATAGTGCGGAAAATACGGTAACCGCCGAGTCCACTTTTAATGCCGTGTGCAGGAGGAGGATGCAAACTCCCATTTCCCGTTTTTTGTTTTTTATTTAACCAAGTTGTGATGATTCGTACAGCGACAAACAGAGAGTCTGATGTTTACAGCGACAGGAGCAGTTTGACTTCAGGTCAGTCCTGCCCACACCAGTCTGGTCGTGTGACTAAGTGGATGGGCTTCATTCTCTGCTGCATCCGATCAGACTCAGCTTCACTGAAATAAGTGGAGGAACAGACGACGTTGCTGTGAAATCCCGGAAAATTTCAAAGTGACGTAAAAAAGAAAGATGGAGCAACACAGCGGGAAATGGAAGCAGTTTTTAGGAGTTTTGGTAAAATGACTTCAGTTTGTCGTTTGGGAGGAAGCAGCGATGCGATCGTAGCTGCTGAGGCGTAAGAGGAAAGTCGTGGCGAAGGGGCGAGGAAGGACAGAGGACGAAGCTGCTGGAATCGTGCCCTTGTAAATTATCGTCAGACTGGTTCAAAGAATTCGAGTATCATATTTTCCCAGTTTTGTTGAGCAAGATTTTCGTGACAAAGGAATTAATCGCCTTCCCCAAATTGCCGCCTGGTCTCAAATAAAAGCCTGGTCTGTTAAGTGACAGAAACAAATAAACGCCCCGGATATTATTTGGTATTTTACGGTATATACTAACACGCACAAACAGTCTTTAACATTCGATTTGTGTCAGATGCTTAAACTAAATCATGTTCAAATGTTGTAGTAGAACTGTAAGACTGATTGTGTTGTGTGTGTGACTCTGTGTGTGACTCTGTGTGTGACTCTGTGTGTGTGTGTGTGTGTGTGTGTGTGTGTGTGTCAGGTACGTGCTGGTGACCGTGGGCCCCGTCTTCACCGAGGAGATGTGGCGTCTGGCGTGCTGTGCCCTGCAGGACGCCTTCTCTGCCACACTGGAGCCGGTCAAGGTAAAATCACAGGCTGAATGAATAACTTGCATTTTATTCATTATCCAAGTCTGAACAGTGTTTTATTTTGAAAAATTTAAAATGAAATCCATTACTTCTGTTTGTGACTCACTCTTGTCTCGGTCACGTGATAACTTAAATTTTTTTTCGATAAATCGACAGTGCGCCTTATAATTCGTTGCAGCGTCTGTATTCATTCTGGTTGTGCTGACTGACCTCGAACCGATTTGGTGTGGTGCACGATGCTTAAAAATCTGTCAGAGTGTTTAAGTACGACTTTGGTAAACTATGAAGCCGTATTCAAAAATCTGTCAGTGTTTACGTACGACTTTGGTAAACTACGAAGCCGCACCACTGGAATGATTGTCGGAGCATTACGGCGACTGAAGTCAGGAGCCTCGCGGAGTAAAGGGCGAAATTCTGCGTCAACTCAGCGCACACTGTCACCGCCGCCTTGTTGCCGTCGTCACAGAGAGAACACTCATATTCCACTGAGTCGTGTCCTTTAGTCTGACAGAAGCTGAACCACAGCAGCTGTTTTTATCAGAGCTCATACTTTATGCAAATGAGTCATGTGGTTTTAAGTTTTGTTTCTGTGAAACATAAACAAATGTGTCAAAGCTGCATTAAACACATTATTACTCCATGTATATTTGAGTCGTCCTCATAGGAAATAAAAAAAAAAAAACCTGGACTAAACCAGGACTAAAACCAGGTCTAAACCAGGTCTAAACCAGGACCAGGACTAAACCAGGACTAAACCTGGACTAAACCTGGACTAAACCAGGACTAAACCAGGACTAAACCAGGGCCAATTTGAAGAGAATAAACATGAATTTTCAGGATGTGGTTGGTACATTCATGTAGTTTTAAAAAACATGACAATATCAAGTAATCCAAAGTATTCAGATTACATTATTCACTTTAAGTAATTTAATGGATTCTGTTACAAACTACATTTTGGGGTGTGTAATCTGTAATCTGTAGGGGATTACATTTTAAAAGTAACCTTCCCAACACTTCTTATAATCCGGTGTGATTTATGTATGAAAATAGACGAAAATTCAACATTATTGATTTTGTGCCTCAAAAATATCCCAAAAATCTATGGTACTGTCTCTTTACAATTCTCCTCAAACTCTGGTGCTTTTACGTTCTGTGATGCTCAATCTCCTTCGTACTTTCTGACCACATCTCGGCTTGTCTAAAGTGTCTTGCCCGAGGACACAATGCCCAAAAGCGCTCAAGTCAAGCTCAGACTTGTGGTTGTAAAAGGCCTGTAGAGCGCCCCCACCAGTCCAAACGCAGAGCAGTGCACTGTGATGAGCCCGGCGCGGTGTCCAGAGGCACAGAGCCCCGGACCTCCTAATCCTGCCCCGCGTGAGCCGGCGGCGTGTGGGACAGATGTCCAGCCAAAGCCCCTTAATGCGGTCAACATGGTAACGCTAACGCCGCCGTAAGCCGCCGTCCCAGATCAGAGCGGCGCCGCGGGATCAGGCCCAAACTCACTCGCTCTGTTCCAATGTGGAACAAATGGAAACAGGTTAAAGAGCCCGAATGACACTGTGCTCTGATCTGATCTAATGTTGTTTCCTCGTCACAAACAGAGCGGGAGTCGAGTTTTGTTTCATTCACAAACATTTAACTCACAAACCTGCAGATTTACGCCGAGTTCTTCTTCAGGTGACTCTGTTTACTCAGGCAGAGTCCTGCACGGCTCCAGCACCACACACTCGCCCGTTAACCCGAGATTATATCAAAGTTAAATCCACACCTCGCCCGACCCGTTAACAGGAATCAGAATACTCTAGATCAGGGGTGTCAAACATACGGCCCGGGGGCCAGATCCGGCCCTCCAAGACCTTTAATCTGGCCCTCGGCTGAGTTTTCTACTAAAATATTTGAATGATATTTTCTATTAAAATCTTGTTAATTTTCTGTGGTGTTTATCACAGCAGCGTCTCCAGCGTCTCTGTACGTGGCCCCTCCCACCAGAGCAGCACAAGCACAAATGAAGACTTGTCTCTTTCCAAACGCTCTTAAAGGACGATCGTTTTGACTGTTGACCGTGACACCCTCATCAGAAAAATGTCCAACATGAGAAAAGTGGAGCCGAGTGCAGGATTTTACTACAAAAATTTACTTATTCCTATTTACATACAGGTTATTTTTAAAACATTGTGTTGAAATTGTATTTTTCTTAAAGTTTCAGGTTGTTCATAATATTATAATATTTTGTAAAAGAAAGAGTTCATCAATTTAAAAAAAATTCTGTAATAGATTTGTGTTTCTCTGCACAAATATTTGAACTTATTGTTATTTTGGGGTTTATATGACATGAGTTTGACACCCCTGCACTAGACTGTTTGCAAGAACCCCGGAAGTTGTAGACCGTGCACCGGCCAATCAGAGAAGAGACAGACATTCTGTGTTGTCAACAATTCCTGAGATCAAGGATTTAAAGCCGGAACAAAGAGAATGTTTGGTGAATTTTATCAAGGGGAAAGACGTTATTGTTCTTCTTCCTACGGGATTTGGGAAAATCTTCATATAACAGTCAGACCCGTTAGCGGAGCATTACATACATCACGACCAAACAGCAGCGATTGGTTAAAAAACATACCCGCCTACTGTCGAGCGAACGAATCCTAATGCAGCGAGGTCACACGGTTTCCATGAAGTGAAACTGTCTGATGAATCAGTCTAGTACAGAAGGGCACAATTAATTAAATTATCCATCCATCACACTTGGCTAAGATCACAATAAATAATAAATATGTAAAAAATACATGTTTTTTTCAAGACAACGTACTAAAATTGATAGAGAAATAGATCACAAAGTATAAAAGCGGCTGTTACGAAACTCCTTTTAAAACTTTATTGGCATCTGCCCCATTTCTGACACCGACCTGTCCATCGTCTGAAGGTGGAAATGAGCAATTCTGCTGTAACCTCCTACAATTATATAACTTCTTTGTGTGGCTCAGTGTTTTTATGTGCATTGTGTCTGATAAATAAACAAATAAACTAAACTACACTAATCTAAAAGAGAAGTTTGGGAGTGAGTCTGCAGTTTTCTACGTGATGTGCGTTTACCTTTTATGACAGAAGAAACTAGAACATGGAGAAAGATCTGAGAAATCCATTTTGCAGAATAAGTCTGATTTAAATCCGCCGGATGAGACAAAAGCTTCTGTGCTCAGAGAGAAAAGAGCAGTGAGTGAGTTTGTTTTTAGTTTCACGATGAGTTTTATAAATGCGACGATCCCTCAGGTGTGTTGTGTCATGTTTTTGTGCTCAGAATAATCCTCTTAGATTAGAAACAGTTTGTCTTTGTTCTGTAGCTCAGTTTGACCTCAGTCTGAACAAACATTACATCTGCCGCCTCTAAACTCGTGGGACCGCAGCTCCGTCCGCATTAACACAAACTCACACTAAAGCTGCGTCAGATTTCATATAGACTTTTCATGTCAGCCTTAATGCGTCTTTTAATCCTCTGATGGAGTTAAGTAACGCGTTTTGTGTTGTGTAAAAAGTACACAGAGTACAAAGATGCACTCTGTCGTTTTGTGGTTGGGGTCATTCACCTGCTGCAGTGGAAGATAACGAGGACTGTATTTTTTGGACTATAAGTTGCACTTAAAATCCTTTAATTTTCTCAAAAATCGACAGTGCGCCTTATGTATTAATTCTAGGGATGTAGCAATAACCAAAATATCATGATATCATAAAGTCTCACAATAATATCGTGGGCTGTCACAATATATCGAATCACAAGTTTCTTTGCTTAAATGCAGATTTTATAGCAGCAACAGTTTATGAACATCTGGAACTACATTTCCCATGATTCATTTCAGCGCAGACAACATGAAGAAATATGTTTTCTACTTGAATTCTTGGGGTTTTTACAGTAATAATTCACACCAAAATCTTGTCAAAGTATTTTAAAAGTAAAAAAGTGTGTGGGTAATGACCAAAAGGACGAGATCGCAGATACAAGTGCTCGAAATGAGTTTCCTCCGCAGGGTGTCTGGGTGCTCCCTTAGAGACAGGGTGAGGAGCTCAGTCACACGGGAGGAGCTCGGAGTAGAGCCGCTGCTCCTCCACGTGGAGAGGAGCCAGTTGAGGTGACTCGGGCATCTGTTCCGGATGCCTCCTGGACGTCTCCCTCAGGAGGTGTTCATGTCCCACCAGGAGGAGGCCCCGGGGAAGACCCAGGACACACTGGAGGGACTATGTCTCTGGACTGGCCTGGGAACACCTCGAGGTTCCCCCAGAAGAGCTGGAGGAAGTGTGTGTGGAGAGGGAAGTCTAAGAGACCCTTCTCAGACTGTTGCCCCCGCGACCCGACCCAGGATAAGCGGAAGAAAATGGATGGATGGAAAAGTGTCCCATATACAATTATATCAGCCTCTTCAAAATATCAACATAAATATTGCATTATAAGATTTGCATATCGTTACATCCCTAATTAATTCATTCTGATTGTGTTTACTGACCTCAAACCGATTTTATGTGGCACATGACGCTCAAAAATCTGCCATAATGTTTTAGTACGACAGAATTAAAACATAAGGCGTGCTGTTGATTTTTGAGAAAATTAAAGGATTTTAAGTGCACCTTATAGTCTGAAAAATACGGTACTTTAGTACTTTTACTTCAATAGATTTTTTCCTGTGATACTTTTACTAGTCACTTTTTGTCTTTGTATCTGAACTTTTACTTAAATAACAAAACTGTACGTCACCACTGGTCTGATGTTTGTCTCCATGGAGATGTTATTGCATTTCCTGGATTTCCACAGTATGGCATTAACCTCATTATCCCGTTAACTGTATTCTGTGTTGTTTTTGATGTTGTGTGTTGTGTGTGTGTTGTGCTTGCAGAACCTGCTGGCGTGTTTCCACAGCAGTGCAGACAGCTCCAGCGCAGACGCCTGTGAGGTGAAGGTGGCCGCTCCGTCTCACTCTCCGTCCGCTGAGGCCGAGTACTGGAGGATCAAGGCCATGGCCCAGCAGGTCACAGTCAAACACACAAAACACACAAAACATCTACAAAACATCCACAAAACATCCAAAAAACATCTACAAAACACACAAAACATCTACAAAACATCTACAAAACATCTACAAAACATCCACAAAACACACAAAACATCCACAAAACATCCACAAAACATCTACAAAACACACAAAACATCTACAAAACATCCACAAAACATCCACAAAACATCTACAAAACATCTACAAAACACACACAAAACATCCAAAAAACATCTACAAAACACACAAAACATCTACAAAACATCCACAAAACACACAAAACATCTACAAAACATCACAAAACACACAAAACATCACACAAAACATCCACAAAACATCTACAAAACACAAAACATCTACAAAACATCCACAAAACACACAAAACATCTACAAAACATCTACAAAACACACAAAACATCTACAAAAACATACACAAAACATCCAAAAAACATCTACAAAACACACAAAACATCTACAAAACATCTACAAAACATACACAAAACATCTACAAAACACACAAAACATACACAAAACACACAAAAACATCACAAAAACATCACAAAACATCCAAAAAAAAACATCTACAAAACACACAAAACATCACAAAACACACAAAACATCTACAAAACACACAAAACATCTACAAAACACACAAAACATCTACAAAACATCTACAAAACATCCAAAACACACACAAAAACACACAAAACATCTACAAAACACACAAAACATCTACAAAACACACAAAACACATCCACAAAACACACAAAACATCTACAAAACATCTACAAAACATCTACAAAATATCCAAAACACAAAACATCACAAAACATCTACAAAACACACAAAACACTACAAAACACACAAAACACACAAAACATCTACAAAACACACAAAACATCCACAAAACACACAAAACATCCACAAAACATCACAAAACACACAAAACAACACACAAAACATCTACAAAACACACACAAAACACACAAAACATCTACAAAACACACAAAACATCCACAAAACACACAAAACATCCACAAAACACACCACAAAACATCTACAAAAACACACAAACACACAAAACATCCACAAAACACACAAAACATCTACAAAACACACAAAACATCACAAAACACACAAAACATCCACAAAACACACAAAACATCACACAAAACACACAAAACATCCACAAAAACACACACAAAACATCCACAAAACACACAAAACATCCACAAAACACATCTACAAAACACACAAAACATCTACAAAACACACAAAACATCTACAAACACACACAAAACACACAAAACACACAAAACATCTACAAAACACACAAAACATCCACAAAACACACAAAACATACACAAAACACACACAAAACATCCACAAAACATCTACAAAACACACAAAACATACACAAAACATCCACAAAAACACACAAAACATCTACAAAAATATCCACAAAAACACACAAAACACACACAAAACATCCACAAAACACACAAAACATCCACAAAACACACAAAACATCCACAAAACACACAAAACATCCAAAACAACAAAACATCTACAAAACACACAAAACACACAAAACATCCACAAAACACACAAAACACTACAAAATATCCACAAAACACACAAAACATCTACAAAACACACAAAACATCTACAAACATACCACAAAACACACAAAACATCTACAAAACATCACAAAACACACAAAACATCCACAAAACATCTACAAAACACACAAAACATCTACAAAACATCCACAAAACACACAAAACATCCACAAAACACACAAAACATCTACAAAACACACAAAACATCCACAAAACATCCACAAAACACACAAAACATCTACAAAACATCCACAAAACACACAAAACATCCACAAAACACACAAAACATCTACAAAACACACAAAACATCCACAAAACATCTACAAAACATCCACAAAACATCCACAAAACACACAAAACACACAAAACACACAAAACATCCACAAAACACACAAAACATCTACAAAACACACAAAACATCCACAAAACACACAAAAACATCTACAAAACACACAAAACATCCACAAAATATCTACAAAACATCCACAAAACATCCACAAAACACACAAAACATCTACAAAACACACAAAACATCTACAAAAACACAAAACATCCACAAAACTGTGTCCACATCAGAATTTTCAGTTTTATTTATTTATTTGAGTCACTCTCAGGAGGCAGAGTCAGACACTGGGCATCACACCTCGGCTCACAACAACTAAAAACGACTGTGGGAGTGTGGCTCATGTCCGTACGGCTCCATGTTCCCACTTCACTGTTTTGTCACATTTAAAGATGATTTTAAATAACTTTTTTCTGTTCACAGCACAGTCCCCTGAGGCTGGTTTGGGTTAGTACAAGTACAGCACAATTCGTACACAAAGTATTTCAAAGTGCTTCACAGAACAAGAAACACATCAAAATCACAACACAAACAAATCAAAACAGAAATAATCATCATAACATTAAAAAGAGAGAGACAATAAATTAGAGAGAAATTTACTACACTGAACTCCTGTGTTATATAAAGACATATTTTTAATAAAACAAAAGCTCAGAATAATAACTGGCCACAATAACAACCACAGGAGCCTCTGTTTGTTAGAAGACATTGTAAGGGGCCCCCTGGCGCTGGCCCCTGGCGCTGGCCCCTGGCGCTGGCCCCTGGCGCTGGCCCCTGGTGCCCTGATAACCAGCTCTGTCATAACTAATGTCCATCATGTTAATTCATGTTTCAGAACCAGATTCTAAACACAGTAACAGTTCTTGTGGTCAGTTAGCCTCGAAAAAGCTTGCTTTATTTATTTATTTATTTTGTATTATTTATTTATTTATTTTATTTATTTATTTATTTTTATGTTATTTTATTTTTATTTTATTATTATTATTATTATTTTTTTTTTAAGTCTAAGAGAAAAAAATGACAGAAAAGTTACTCCTGGCACAAAGCCATGAGTTTTATTTGGAAAGGAAATGTCACAATGTTCTTTTGTGTCCCTAACCCGAGTTTACAAGAATGTGTAAATACCAAATCCACGTTTTTGATGGTCTCTCGTCTGATCCTCTGGTCTTTCTTGTCTTTCTTGTATCTCAGGTTTTCATGTTGGACACTCAGTGCTCCCCAAAGACGCCCAGTAACAAAGAGGGTTTCGAGCACGCGCAGTCCTGCGTCCTGATCATCGAGGTTCCCGGGGACCAGCAGGCGAACGGGCACACGCACAAGAGGTACTGAACACACTACTGCAAACTACAGGAGCTCAACTGTGTGAAGGAAACTGAAAGATCTGACACGAACAGGTCCAGAGTGGGACTAATGTCCTGGAGGAGAATACTGCATGTGTGTGTACTGCGTGTACTGCGTGTACTGCGTGTACTGCGTGTACTGCGTGTACTCCCTTCACTACAGTGACTACTTCACTTTGGTTAAATAAATAATTGAATAAAATAAATGAATAAATACATATAAAAATATCTCAACCCTCAGATTTGATTCTACACAACAAAAACTGGAGGGTTAAAATTTCAGAGTGAAATATTTCAGAGTTGTTTTTTAAACAAAAAGTGTTATTTTAACTATTTCAAAGTTAAATTACGTTGGGGTTATTTGCCAGAGTTGATATGGTTGAAGTTAATTCAACTTCCCTTAGTGTTAATTTGGCTCCTCC